GTGCCTTTCCAGGGGCGGCAGGGTCTCTCCCAGGGGCGACGGTGCCCCCAGGGGCCCTTCCACATGCGGCATCGCCCCAAAAACTTCATAGATTTGTCGTATATTTTGCATTCGTCCAAAAATCCCTTACTTAAACGTGATTGGTGGAGTAAGATGTGACGTCATCAAATTACAGCCAATAGGAGAACAGAGCAGTAGATCAGCACAACACCCCAACTTATGTTTCCCTGTTGGATATTTATTCTCCTTTTTATTATTCATGGTGTGATGATACTGGAAATGCGATGGGCGGAGTATTTATTCATATTTTCCATTGTTGTAAATATGCAAAAACAACTGCCCCCACGGTCAATACAGTGATAGTGCGTCCTGGGGCCCTCCCATTTGCCCTACCAGGTGCGTCACCCTAGGGGCTATCCCAGGGGTGTCGGTGCCCCCAGGGTCCCTGGCAAGGGTGGCGGCACTGCCAGGGGCGGTGGCGCACCCAGGGGCCTTCCCAGGTGTGGTGGCGCCCACAGGGTCCCTCTCAGGGGCACCGTGCCCCCAGGGGACCTCTCAGGCGTAGTGGCGCCTCCAGGGGCCCTCCAAGGGGTAACGTCGCCCCCAGGAGCCCACCAAGAGGTAACATTGCCCCCAGGGGACCGACAAGGGGTAATGTCGCCCCCAGGGGCTCTCCTCAGGGGCACCGGTGACCCCAGGGGAGCTCTCAGGTGTGGTGGCGCACCCAGGGGCCCACCAAGGGGTAACGTCGCCCCCAGGGGCTCTTCTTAGGGGCAGCGATGCCCCCAAGGGCTCCTCTCAGGGTCAGCCGTGCCCCCAGGGTACCTTCCAGAGGCGGTGGCGCCCCAAGGGGCGGCGCTACCCTCAGGGGCCTTCTCAGGGGCCCTACCAGAGGCGTCCCCTACCTGGAGACCTATAGCTTTTAGTGGTAGTGTCGTACATATTGCATACGTCCAGCAATCCCTTACTTAACTGTGATTGGTGGACTAAAATGTAAATGCAAATATCAGCCAATAGGAGAACAGAGCAGTCAGTCAGCACAACACCCCAACTTATGCTTTGCTGTTGGATATTTATTCTCGTTTCACTATTTTTATACTCTGGGAGATATGACGTTAAATAAATACACACTGCCCATAGCATTTTCAGTATTATCGCAACCTGAACAATGAAAAGGAGAATAAATATCCAACAGCAAAACATAAGTTGGGGTGTTGTGCTGACTGATTGCTCTGTTTTCCTATTGGCTGTAATTTGATGACGTTACCTCTTATTCCACCAATCACAGTTAAGTAAGAGATTACTGGAAGAATGCAATAAGTACGACACCACTATCCATTGTTTTGGGGCGCCTCCTCCCCTATTAGGACCTATTGTGAGCCACAGGCCTTGGCAGGGTCCCTGGGAGCAGTGGCGCCCTATAAGGAGGTCTGAGGGGAGCCACCGCCTCTGGAAGGGCCCCCTAAGGCGCCACCGACGCTGGCAGGGCCTCTGGGAGCACCACGGTCCCTAGGAACGTACCTGGAGGTGCCCCCGTCCCTGGAAATTCCCCAGGGATCATGGCTGTTCCTGTGAGGGCCGCTAGGGTCGACCGTGCCCCTAGCAGGGCCCATGGGGGCGCCGCCGTCCCTGTGAGGGTCCCTAGGAGCATTGCCGTCCCTGCGAGGGTCCCTTGGAGCGTTGCCATCCCTGAGAGGCCCATGGAAGCTCGGCTGTTCCTGGAGGAGCCCCTGTCGACGCCGCCTTCCCTGAGAAGGCCCCAAGGATTATACTTGTTCGTAAGACCGCCCCTGGTAGATCCAGCCCCACTGACAGGTCCCCTGGGAGCACCGCCGACCCTGTGAGGGCCCTGGGGGCGCCTGCGTACCTGGCATGGCCAAGTGACCCTCACAGGGATAGCGGCGATCCCAGGGTCCCTTAAGGGACGGGGGCGCTTTCAGGGGTGTTCCCAGGGACGTCGGCTCCCCCCCAGGGGCCATTCCACAGTGGTAGCGCATTCAGGGGCCCGTCCAGAGGCGGTGTCTCCCCCAGAGTCCCTCTATGGGGCGCCTCTGCTCCCAAAGAACCTGCCAGGGTCTGACGCGCCCCTATGGGCCCTTCTAGGGCCGGCGGCGCTGGTATGGGCCCTCCTAGTGACAGTGGGTGCCTTTCCAGGGGCGGCAGGGTCTCTCCCAGGGGCGACGGTGCCCCCAGGGGCCCTTCCACATGCGGCATCGCCCCAAAAACTTCATAGATTTGTCGTACATTTTGCATTCGTCCAAAAATCCCTTACTTAATCGTGATTGGTGGAGTAAGATGTGACGTCATCAAATTACAGCCAATAGGAGAACAGAGCAGTAGATCAGCACAACACCCCAACTTATGTTTTCCTGTTGGATATTTATTCTCCTTTTCATTATTCATGGTGTGATGATACTGGAAATGCGATGGGCGGAGTATTTATTCATATCTCCCATTGTTCTAAATGTGCAAAAACAACTGCCCCCACGGTCAATCCAGTTACAGTGCCTCCTGAGGCCCTTCCAGGGATAGTGGCGCACCCATGAGCCCTCCCAGGGGCGGTGGCGACCTCAAAGACCCTCGCAGTGAGCAGCTGCACTCCCAAGGGACCTCCCAGAGACAAGAGCGCCTCCAGGTGGCCCTCCCAATTCGTGGCGGATTCCTCAGAGGACCCAACAGGGGAAGTGGCGCCCCCACAGACATTTACAGAGGCGGCGGCGCTTCCAAAGACCTCCCAGAAGAAGCAGCTCCCCCAGCGAACCTCTAGGGGGGATGGCGCCTCCAGTTAAGTCAGGAATTGCTGGACGTAAGCAATGTGTACGACATCACGACCAAAAGCTATAGGTCTCCTGGCAGGAGGCGCCTATGGAAGGGCCCCTGGAAGGGCCCCTAGGAGTACCACCGCCTCTTGGGGAGCCACCGCCTCTGGAAAGGCCTCTGAAGGCACCGCTGTCCCTGACGAGAGCCCCTGGGCTGCTCCAAGACGAGATTCTGGGGGCGACGTTGCCCGTTGGCGGGCCCCTGGGTGCGCCACCACCCCTGAGAGGTTCCCTGGGGGCGCCGTTGTCCCTTGGATGGATCCTGTGGGCGCAACTTTCCCTGGGAAGCCACCTGCGAGTGCTTCCGTCCTTGGGAGGGCCCCTTGGGGCGCCATCACCCTTGGAATGGCCACAGGGGGGGTCGCACCTGGAAGGGAAAATAGGAAGGCCCCATGAAGCACTGTCACTATAGGGACACTGGGAGCAGCTGTTTTTGCACATTTAAAACAATGGGAGATAGGAATATAAACTGTGATATTTAGTCCACCAATCACAGTTAAGTAAGGGATTGCTGGACGTATGCAATATGTACGACACCACAACCAAAAGCTATAGGTCTCGTGGCAGAGGGCGCCTCTGGAAGGGCCCCTGGGAGGGCCCCTAGGGGTACCGCCGCCTCTTGGGAAGCCACCGCTCCTGGAAGTGCCTCTGTAGGCACCACTGCCCCTAAGAAGAGCTTCTGGGGGCGACTTTGCCTCTTGGCGGGCCCCTGGGAATGCCACCACCTCGGAGAGGTCCCCTGGGGGCGCCGTTGCCCCTGGGATGGCTCCTGTATGCGCAACTTTCCCCGGGAAGACCCCTAGCGGCGCTGCAGTTCTTGGGAGGTCCCCTTGGGGCGCCGACACTGCTGGGAACCCCTTGGGGGCGCCGTTGCCTCACGGAGGTTTCATGGGAGCGCCGCTGCTGCCTGAGAGGGCCCCGCCCTTGGGGGCACCACCGCTCTTGGGAAGACCCCTGGGGGCGCCAAATCCCCTGGAAGGTCTCCTGGGGGAGCCGCTGTCCGTGGGAGGGCGTCTGGGGGCACCACCGCCTCTGTAAGGCCCCCTGGGGGCGCAACTATCCCTATCAGGTCCCCTGAAGATTCTGCCGCCTGTACGAGGGCCATCTGGAGGCGCTGTTGCCTCTGGGAGGTCCCTTGGGAGTGCTGCTGCCCACTTGGAGGGTCTCTGAGGGCACCAACGCCCTTGGGATGGCACCTGGGGGCACCACCACCCCTGGAAGGGCCACAGGGGGGGGTCGCACCAGGTAGGGAAAATAGGAAGGCCCCCAGGAGGCACTGTCACTATAGGGACCCTGGGAGCAGTTATTTTTGCACATTTAGAACCATGGGAAATTTCAGTAAATACACCGCCCATCGCATTTCCAGTATCATCGCACCATGAACAAAGTAAAGTGAGAATAAATATCCATCAGGAAAACATAAGTTGGGGTGTTGTGCTAACTGACTGTGCTGTTCTCCTATTGGCTGTTATTTGGTGGATTTACATTTTAGTCCACTGTCGTTGTATATGCTGTAAACTGTATACTTTTGGGGTATATAGACTGTCTACTGTCGAGGTAAATAGACTGTATACTGTTGGAGTATACATTTTCCACAACCTAGACAGTGCAGGTATACAATAATAGTAAACAGTATCGCAACTTAACCAAGGACAGCCGACAAAACCATCAGACGCTTAGTTCCTGAAGAATATAAAAGCTTCATAAAGTAACATTAAGAACATGAACCATCTTAGTTCATAAGACTCAAAGTGGTTATTATCATCAGAGTAATTCTTTTGTTATAGCCAGACAAGTTGCTGAACTATACCTAATCTCACACAGTTCAGACCTCAGCCTTTGTTAAACAGGCAGAGGAGAAGCACTTTTTTTTTTTAATGATTATGGGAAGTATTACCCCACCTGTGTTATCCCACACCTGCACATGTTCGCCTATACTCATACCTTCACTTAATCAAGCACCTCATATACACTCTCTCAACCACGTCATCTACCCACTACTACTACACTCATACACGGATCACCAACTTAATAATTATACCTTTAAAATTAGTTAACTAAAGATTGGGAAAAAATCAATTAGGTTTTGTGTAGAGCTATTTTTTTCTTTCTAAGGAGGTGGAGAAATCTAGCTTTAACGACATATGGTGATTGTTGGTTAGTCTTAAGTGTCAAGTGGACCCCTGATAACTTTTCTCGAGGAGGCATATAAGAGGTAGCATCTGGTCTTACCACCAGCAGCAGCCATGAAGACTTTGGTGTTTTGCTTCCTGATGACCACAGCTCTCGGTAAGCTCCTTATATTATTTTCTTATTTCATAGTAAAGCCTCTCTAATGCATATGGGCATCAGGACTACCTATACAAATGGGGTAAATTGTTAAAAAAATAATGTAAAATAATAATAGGAACTTAATTCTTACCTCCAACTTGATTACCTGATTTATACCCAGCGGCACCTCACAGGAAGCCCCGCTACCGTCCATTCATCAACATGATTGTGAGTGGAAACAAGACTACTCCAGGAGAGCTTCCCTACCAGCTCAGCTTCCAGGATACTTCATATGGTTATTCTTTTCACTTCTGTGGTGCCTCCATCTACAATGAGAACTATGCCATCAGCGCTGGTCACTGTGTCCATGGGGAAGACTTGAACAATCCAGAGTACCTTCAGGTAACCATGCTACACTGTAGAATGTGTGTTTACAGTTTTTAGTTCTTGGGGTGGATGACTACAGTGAGGTTAAATACTTGGTCTGAGGTTATGGATTTATTAGGTGAGGCTGTCTATTAAGTGTAGCCAAACCCTGATAGCAGCAAGATCGTGCATCAATAAAGCCTAGATGTCCTATCAGTATGCAAAGCTAAATATTGGTTAACAAAATCGTGACCATATGTCAGCGAGCTACCCTTAAGCCAAGAAGTTCTGATTTTTCTCTTAAAAAAATTAACTATTTCTTGATTTTTAACCATTTAGGTGGTCGAATTAGGTAGGCACTTAAGTTTGATTAGACTGTCTTAGCTGTGGATACTAGTGATCGTTATTATATACAGCGGTACAAAAACTGTGTTCTTGATAACTGCAGAGGAATGTACTTCATAATTTTTGATACTTGAGTAACTTATTCAGTTTATCATTTGTACTAAACTAAAATTTACAATGGATACTTTAACTTGTATAATATTTAAGTGACTTATTGACAAAAATCATTTACTTGAATTTTAGTAACTTATTTTAGTACTTTTTGCACACATGTTTATTATATTGTACAGGTAATTGTGTTATTTCCTCCTTAAGGTTGTGGCTGGAAAGCAAATACTCGACAAGGTTGAGGGAACTGAGCAGACAGTCATACTCTCAAAGATCATCTTACACGAGAATTTTGTTGGCTTTCCCATCAAAAATGACATCTCCCTGTTGAAGTTGTCTCGACCACTCCTCATGAATGACTACGTGAAGCCCATCGCTCTTCCTGAGGCTGGTCACACTGCTGCCGGTAACTGTATTGTGTCTGGCTGGGGCGCCACTACTGAGGGAGGGACCCCAATCAAAACTCTAATGAAAGTGACTGTACCAATCTTAAGTGATGAAGAATGCCATAGTGTATATACCCAAAATTTCTTTAAGGATTCGATGATCTGTGCTGGTGAGCTAGAAGGTGGCAAGGACTCGTGCCAAGGGGACTCTGGTGGACCCTTGGCTTGCTCTGAATCTGGCTACACCTACTTGGGGGGCATTGTGTCCTGGGGGTACGGCTGTGCCTGCCCAGGCTACCCAGGTGTCTATACTGAGGTGGCATACTTTGTTGAATGGATAAAAGCCAATTCTGTCTAATCTTCAGGTTCTCACAAGAATCTTAGGAAAATGTACAATGAAAGACAAAAGTCGTGTCGTGAAATTTGGTGAAAACATATGTTTGTACAGTGAGGGATTTCTGTACACTCCTTTCTTAAGTTCAAAATAAACTTCAACACAACCTGATCAGTGTAACAAGTGCCATTTGCCATTGTACTGCTGACTGAAGTTTTGTTAATAGTAATTTGCCTGGTTAATAAATCTGTAATGATAAAAAAGATAGGAAATATATAAACAGTCATTTGAGATTAGTTTTAATCTGATATTAACATTGAACAACTTTAAAAAGACAACAAACTCTTATATATATATAACAATATAAAACTCTTCAACAAGTGTTATGTAAACCTCTTTGGCCCCTCACATCACACCTCACATCAAAACCAGATTAATTTTTCAACATTAATCTTCCAATGCATTTGACTATTAGTTTTATTTTTAAATTTTGGGGGAAAAAACAAAACAAGATTTATGGATTCTAGGCCTGTGAGGTCATGTGTAGTAGCCAACACAGTCACTCGCACACACACATTTGTCTATATGAACTATTAGAACACAATACTGTATACATTCTGAATGTCATACAGGATTGTCTTTTCTGTATATATTCTGAATACATCACATATGTTTGAAGCATTTAAACCCCTAAAAAACTTATCCTTCCCCCAGTGTAAAGTAAACTTCTCCATAATTTTGACTAATTTACTACCAAATTCCAACTTGTTACTTGAAAAGAATTTATGCACTGAGAAAATGTTGATGCATCTCGTCATCAGGAACTTGTTGGAAGTTGGCAGAAATAAACTGGAAGTTAAAAGTCTCTGGAAATTGGTTCACTGTTGACAAAATGACAGAAATATGCTTGATGTATTATTATTTATTAAAGGGAGATGAGAAGTTTGCTCTTATTAGTTAGTAATCTCTTATACAGTAATGACTTTATTTTTGTTATGACATGCATGGCGTCATTTCCTGGCTCGGAAACATGGGAACCACAACAACTTCTAATTCTTTTTGAGGTGAGTGAAGCCACGTTCCTTGTTGCCAGGGTCCATCACGATAGAGATAGTGAGGGAGTCCTCCCCGTGGGTGTGAGAGAAGGGCGTGCCCATCCTCACCAAGAGAGAATCTTGGGGCTTCAGCACGAATTTCTCCTTCCCAATCACCACCGAGCTCTCGCCCTCCTGCCCTCACACAACACAACAATGAGTCTCTTAATACAATTTCCCACTGGAGAAAAAATTCCCCCACACATCTTTAATTAAAATTTCAAAAGCAAAATAGTGTACTGTATAAACATGTCAAACCAATTGTATACCTGCATGGTCTATGTACATTGTATACCAGGGTTGTCTTTATGTATACTGAATTGTATACATAGAGTCAATATACACGATGTATCAAATGTAAACTTGTATATTTAACTGAATAAACATATACTGTAACTACTTATCCATCAAGAGCACATGTAAATAAACCGTCTCTCTATAAGGGTCCTCAAGAACAGTATACAGTATCTAGTCCCCTCCCACACCCTCCCCACTGCCAGTAGTGGTGAGCAAAAACCAAAGACAAATATCTTACCAGCTGCCAGAGCCACGTCTCGGCCTTAGTCAGGTGGAGGTCTGTAGTCCCTCGGCCCAGGACAGTGACGTCACTCTGGTAGCTTAAGTCAAACAGCCTCTTACTCCCCTCCTGCTGAATCTGTAAGTGGTAATTCATTAAATACTGCAGATTTATTAGAGAACAACAAGACGCATATCTTATTCTCTATCTCTCTATTATTCTTTATTCCTTTCTTACTTTTCTGTGAGCTGGATCAAAGGTACAAGAATCTCACTGAAAGGGGACACATAATGGGGTACAGTGACACAAGAGTTGAAAGTAGGAAAACTGAATCAAAACAAAGCTAAAAATACCCACACATACTCGTTTAGTTGTCAACTTGCATAAACAATATAAAACAATCATCTTTAGCTGCCATGTACGTATAGGCAGCCCGAGTTATGAATGGATTACGTTCCTGGACCCTGTTCGTAATTCCCTCTGTTCTTAAGTTGGAACAGTGTTAATTCCATAGTTTAGGTTCGGTTAAACCACAACCCTGCCCATACAAACAGTATCTCTTACATAATAATTAAATACAATAAATAAAGTTATGTTAAACAATATAAGGTCATTAAAAGAAAGAATTTTAGTTAAAACTCTACCCATATTAAACCACAATAATATCCCATACATAACAAATAAAGTAAATAAAGTAATATTAAACTTCCGTATATAGAATAATGAATGTACAATACTTAATGTAAAACATGGGATTTTTGTGATGAATATACTGGGATTCCTTTTGTAACTCGAGAGACTGCCTGAATTTATGATGAAGTAAATTTGATGCAGAACATTACTGTACATCCTCCGCCCATTGTTCACTACATCAAACCACCCACCAGCTTATCAAGAAGCTAATGGGGTGCATCAGTAAAGGGAGGGTGGAGAATGTCTGAATAAAAGACAGGAACATACTTCAGCACGATACTTATTGAGCCACTTGGCCAGGGAGAAGGGTGTCTCCACAATCCTCAAGGCATCAGGCTGCCAGGGTGGATTCTCAGGGATGGTTCCTAGGGGTGGAGAAGATATTGCTCATAAACTATATATACATATTAATCTCCAGAGGCAATGGCTAAATATTTTATAGGTAAACTTATCTTTCAAGAATGATTTCCCCTCCTTGTCATGCTGACTAAGAGGTCTCAAAAGTTAAGTAGATATATGTTAAGAGATAAAGATGTGATAAGGTAGACAGACACACAGACCAGGGATGGGTTTGCCAGTCCTGTGTTGTTCCGAGGCGAAGTACTCCTTGATGATGGGGACAAGCTGTGTGCCCAGGTCCTCACAGTAGAACCACTTCTCAAACAGTGACTGGGTGGTCCCCTCCACGTAGTACCTGGGGAAGAAGACAAACATGATACTACAGTATATACTGTACAAGAAGGAAGGTTCAAAATGGGGATGAATATCTCCATTAGTTGGAATCCCTCAAACCTGAAACTCTCCAATATCTGAAATTGAAATTTTCTCGGAAAATCGTTCCCAAAGCTGGAATTTTCTGGGTAATTCCGGCTTTGAGAACGATTTTCCAAGGGGGGCATTTTCTGGAAAATTCCGAGAATATTTTCTATGTACCCGGAAAATTCCAGATAGGGGAGTTCTTTCTGGGTTTGAGATCTGAAAATTTGTTACCCGGAAAATTCCGGGGATGAGGGATTTTTCCCCAGCTTTGAGAGAGTCATCCCACTACCCAGAAATTCTTATTCTCCGAAGTGATCTGCACCAATTGTTCCGGCTAATAGAGCTATCACTTATATTAAAAAAGTCAATTACGCTGTACCCATAACTTTTAAATCACATAGGAATATGACTGGAGAAGTAAAGATGTATTATTAATGATCACATACCTACTTTTCCACATAATCTCCCTCTACAGCTGTGCACTTGTCCCATCTTTCTACATATTTTCAGTATCAAGACCAGGTTTCTTAAAAAGTGGATGCATTAAGCAGGGCTGTGGAGTCGGAGTCGGAGTCGGAGTCGAGGAGTCGGAGGAAATTTCGGCTTGTGGAGTCGGAGTCGGAGTCGGTAAAATTGTCCAGACTCCGACTCCGACTGAAGCTATTCTGTTCCTAAGAACAAATATATGAACTCAGGCATATTCATTGCAGTGATTCCACTGATCCCACTAATTTTCTTAAATTATTAAAAGAATTTATATCCATTTTATAAGCATTATTATGAATTTATTGTAGCAGGCACAGTATAGCACTATAATTTTGGACGATAGTCTCTTCTTTACCATTTGAATTTTGAATTATATCAAATTTTGTTTCGTTGAAAACTGCACAGAGGCTCTCAGCTACAAAACAATTAGCTACAACCTGTTTTTGGTGAGATTAAGGCAAATTTAATTTAATAACTTAATCATGTAAGGTTTATCCATTTTCCTTAATAAGGTATTCATTTCTTTAATGTACATAAATATATAACTTTACTTTAAAAGGAATTGTAGGATCATCATTTAGATCCACATCAGATTATGAGCTTAAACAAAATTCATATGCTGAGATCGAACTTTTAGATATACATGTAAATGGTGTTTTCTAGTTAATATCTTGAATTCTTAATAAATTTATTTTTCTTTTGATTGAAACTTTGAAAGTCAAGCCTATCATCTTTTTGTAGTTCTTAAATATCGTCCAGATCATTAATAAAGCAGTATAGCCACGGTGTTTTACTTTTTACCTATGCAGGTTACAACATACAAATTACAATTAGGATGGTAGAAATAGTTGTTACAAATAGGCCAAGGAGTCGGAGTCGGAGTCGGAAGCATAAAAATTTGAGGAGTCGGAGTCGAAGGTTTTGTCTTCGACTCCACAGCCCTGGCATTAAGCCTGTTTCTCAGATGGCACAAAATTGCCTTCTGCATAACATTTATTTATGATTCTACAAATAAAATCTGCAGCATGTTCAAAGCAAGTGATACCTTAGATATATTTACAGGATGAAGATGACAAAAAGTCTACTTCGAGTCCGTGATGTAGTGCATACTGATCACCCCTACAGGACAACACACTGGATGAGTGATTGAGGTTTATGACATAAATTAGTCAAAATTCAACTGAAAATTCCTCAATTAAACATCATTAAGGGCATTTCTTAGACATGATATCTTCGTCTAAAAAAAACAAAGAAAAATGCGAGGTAAGCTGAACATCTGAAGTGGAAAAAAGCATAGTAGTTCCAGACCTCCAGCCCATCAGTCCATTCATAACGGCATAAAAGGCTTTCTCATCACTGCCACAAGAGGCTAATCACTGAACAGACAGCAGCCCTATGCACAGTTATATACTCTGATCTAGTACGATCTGTTCAGCACTTCTATGATCCCTATGAAGAGAACTTAGACGAGTCATACCATGGAGTCATCTCTTACTGTAATTCTCTTCAAGACCCTCTGGACAATAAAGGTCTGAAATGGACAGAGGAGTCGACTCAGCTCAAAGAATGATCGACTTCCTGATCAATCACGGTGTGTACTGTGAGAAGGTGGAGATGGGAAGAGCAAGGGCAGGGTTGACTGCTAGATAAACTTTCCCCAATAATATCAGCAGATAGTCGAGCTTTACGCAATAACACACCTCGGATAAACCCCATTGGTTACGCACATTATGTTGGGGTGTAAAAAGTTGATGTACGTACTTTAGACAGTCATGTTCCGTTTTGAGTCGTTCACGCTCTACGACGAGTCCCAGTGTGTCTGCAAACCGCTGTGGTGAGTGAGGGATTTTTCCTGGCAACTGGAAGACCTGCAACAAAACAAAAACCTGGCTATATGCAAGGTGTCTCAGAGAAATGTATACCCACTGCTTTACAGATTTTAGTGGAGATAAAATAAATGCTTGTACTATCATAACACCAACACTGTCTTTACTTGTTGATGTTTGAGGTCTCCTTTGCTGACAGGGTAACAACTCAATAATTATGCATTTCCTCATACTTTCATAATCACCACTGTATTCAGCAAGCAGTCTTCCCACCTTCCCCTCAACGAACCAAGAAGTCTCCTCACCTCCCCCTCCTTGATGATGACGTCCTTGAAGGCACCATTCTGGAGAGTGACCAGGTTCATGTCGCCCTTCAACATATAGAAGAACTCCTCCCCCACCTCGATGTGAAAGTCCTTCCTCTGGTTGGGTCCTCCCACGTAGAACACCTTCAGCTGTCCGTCACCATGCCTGGGAGGGTGGAAGGGAGATTAGTTGTGGTACCTGGATGGGAGGGAAGTAGTGTCTGGGAGAAGGATAGAGAGAGAGAAAGTGACTGGATGTAGGTCACTACTCACTCCCATCATCAAATTACTTCAACTCTTCAATAATGACCATTTAAGTAATATTCTCAAGCACATATAATAATTAGTTTTACATACATACTATAATATACAGTATAGTACCTTAACCCGAGTGACAAGTGTTGATTTTAGGCAATTATGGTCGAAACCGGAAAGAAAAATTGCGTAGGTTCACCAATTTCGTTGATTTCCTATGCAGTGAATAATCTGTACAATTTAGGTCAGTATGCCATAAAAGAATCAAAGAAAATGAAAACCTGTACATTTTTTTTACGAGCCGAATTGTTATTCAGTGAAAGATGCATTTATATATCTACTGTTTATGTACTCAAGAGCTTCAGTCACTGTACTCAGCCCAAGGACCTTAGATACGTACCCACCTCACTCCCTCCCTCTCCACCCCTCTACATATATCAACCCCCCAAAAAAACACTGCTGTAAAAAATCTTTATTTTAGGAAAATTTGTGAACTCAATAAAAATAAATAAATAAATACGTAAAAGGTAGTGGTTGGTATTGGTTGTGTTGCCACACCAAGAGACGTGTTTTGTATTGTGTGACGAAAGAAACTGGTTTGGAGAGCGAGTGGACTTAATCACCACTTGCCTGCTGTATGCCGCTGCCGTCCTCCAACTGCGCCACTCATATTTTGTTTTGTTTTTTGTTATGACGATGATCTTACGACATGGATACTGACAATATTACGATAGGTAAATCTAATATAACTATTTATAACTAAAGATAGCCACAATAATTAACGATGATTGTAACTACCGGTAACTGCGCAATACCCTACAACACTATGGCCCTGAAGATGTTATTTAAACTATAGTATCGACCGAACAGCGTCCATCCCTCCTCCTCTGGCCTTTAAATGTCACTGATTAAAATTGAATAAGACTCGATACTCCTCCAACATACAAACTAGCAAGCAGAATTAAACTTAACTTATTATTATGCAATTTTACAATGTATTATGCGTAAACATACAAATTAGGAGACTCACAAAGCCTCTCGGTGTCCTTGGGTGGGATTGTGGGGTTCACTTGACAAGCGTAACCTAAGGCTCAGAGAACGAGTTTTTTTTCCAATACGAAAGCAAAAGTATGTATACGTATACTTCTAAGGCAACAAATGACAAACAAACCATTAAGATCATCAGGAGTTTAATGCCTAGACACGTATCCGGGGTCAAATTCTCCTTCCCCAAAACAGCAGGTAAGGCTTTAGAATGCATTGACGACTAAATTATACTGTAGATGTATTGACAGTGACGTGGCTGGAATTTCCGTTAGCCCCTTCAGTCGACACGGGCATATGAATAGACATCACCAAACAATCTTCTCTGTTGCTTTAATCGTTTTTCTCCTTGCAGGGATGGATATAGGGGTCGAATCTCACGTTTCTCCTAAGATCTACCTGGCACGTTAGATCACATCAGGGACAACGCGTAAACATTCCTGGCACATGATGTACTGAAACATCTAAACGGATCGCTTGTCAACAGTGCACAGACTATCGGGGATGGACAACGGGGAGAGAGTTAGGTTAAGTAATCACATGTAGATTCGCCGCATAAAGGAATTAGACATTAAGTAAAATCGTGGGGGTGTCGTCAAGCAACCCAGGAGGAGGATACTAAGCAGCTGATGACACGAATGTTTTATTAAATGTAATATTTAACTCCCGGTCTCGCCACACTAACTGGTCAAGTCTTATCACGTACTTAGTCCACTGGCAACACAAACAGCTTCTAACTTCAGACCTTTCTACAACCAACACCAACTATCTCTATCCCACCCTAGACAATACATTCCACTTCTTTCTATCCATAATTCCAGACTTTAGTGAATTTATCAATCTTTTTAATGTCAAAACAAATTCAGACCATCACCACTTGCGGCTCTGTACACAATCGCGTCATGGGGCAATTTTATTCAGACAACAACCCTCGCAACACTTGAGTTGTGTGGCAATGTGCAATACAAAAACGTAATTATATATTGTGATTAATTCTAAATTACACAGGGGTGACCAGACTTTCTAAACAGTAATTATCATGAAGGACAGTATAAATGTCGAGAGGCAAGGTAATTTCACCCGCTAACTGTAGAAATTATAAGAGCAAACAAGTAACCAACTTGGTAGAGAGAGTTTTCCAGAGCGTTGATATTGACGGACACACCTCAGCTTTGGGAAGTCATTTGATACTGACGCCGTTGTGTTTGTTACTGCAGCTTATACAGTTATCCGACAACGTTAAATTTTAATGTTTGACTGTACATTAAATGCTATATTTTTAGGTATGCAAATAGCGAGATTTATAAATTGGAGTTGGTAACTTGATTATCACAATATATTAACCAAAACACATACAATAACTAAATGTTCATTCATACTTTCCAAAAACAATAAGAAATTGGCCAATTAAGTCTCCTCCGCCAGTTTTGCCGATCGTGGGATAAATTAGCGCAACGGGGAGCTGGTGGTAGAGCGTTACCGTTCTTGCCTCGCAAGCAAGATGTCACGGGTTCGATTCCCGGGCCGGCGGAAATTGTTGGGACACTCTTCCTAGCCCCCTTGGTCCCTGTCCACCTAGCAGCACAGTAGGTACCTGCTGTAAATCGAAAGTTGCGAATTCGTGTACAGGGACAAGTTGTTGGAGCTTCCAATAACTTGATGACATAAACCACTGACTCTTCAGGCTTCTACGCCCTTAACTCATGAGACAAAGGCAATCATGAACTTATCATGCTTCCCTGTTGGGCGCTGTAAACGCTTCTGCGCTTCACCTTACACAAGGATGTAGGGGGTGCCCAATAAATGAAAAAAAAAAAAAAATTAGCGTAACTGTTACAAAGGAATATACAGTAAACTCACATCATATGGTTGCAGACTGGTGGTAGAAATGACTTCTTGTTTTGCTCAATCCAGTCAGGGATGGTATGGTGGACATTGGGCAGAGGCGCCATTTCTCCTACACTCCTGACAAACACGAGTAACATGAAAAAATAACACTTATTCAATGGTAATATTGCAGTAAATAGCAAACACCACAGAATTTCGGAAAATCACTACACTCAATCGATAGAACTAGTTTTTCTTTGAGAATTTTCTTATATTACAGTAGGTTAGGTTAGGTTAGGTAACACTTTTTATCAGATTCTCTGGTTGCTGTTAATCTGCAATTTGACCTATTCAATAATCATAACCGAAATATCGACTTTCACCCTACAATTAAAAAAAAAATTAACCCTTACATACAACAATCAAGATACTGTTTCAATATTTCGTAATGAAATTCACTGGATGGTTAGGTATGTTGAAGGAGTCCGGGCGAATCAGGTTCTAACTAAGTCTCCATACGGAACTCTGGTCTGTCCCAGGGTTGCCAGATGTACGACAAGCTTCACGGCCAACTTCACCCCATCTCACGGCCAAAACCTTATGGATGGGAAGCACAAGGCTATTTTTCCAATCCACACAAAATAAAAGTATCCCCTACAATATCCACTTAAAATGTAGTAATAAAACCAAATTTTCACTTAGAATTGAGAGCCTAATAATTACATAAACATATCATCTATAATCTACAGTGAAGATTTACCTTAATGTGAAATGGTGGTGGAGCATGATAACTTGATAACACTAGCTGGCGTAAGCAAAAACGTCTAGTTTGTTATCGTCCCCCGGTTTGTTATATTTTCTACCACTGTCGTAGGACCCTTTCCATTTACTAGTGGACATTTTGAAAACTAGCACTCGGAATTTCATTAAGTAACTCAGATGGCTTTGTAAGCTCTGAAGCTTAACCCATATGCTGGACACGTTCAGCCTGAACAACTCAAATATGAGAACTAACAACTAAGGTAGTAACTAGTTAGATCAGTCAGCTCAGTAGGTTACGTAAACATGTGAAGAGGTGAGATCACTGAGCCACCATTTTCATTGTAAAATTTGAAAATCTGCTAGAATTTTCTTCACAATCCACTAAAGGAGGAATTAATACGTGTTTTACAAAATTCGGCCAAAATACGGCCAAAAAGTTTGGCCGTGACCATCCATTTTCCACGGCCAGGCGAAGTTTTTTACGGCCTAATTAGATAAATTTGGCCGTGGAAACGGCCATCTGGCAACCCTGGTCTGTCCACTACGAGATACCGACCACTGCACCACGCCTCCCTTATCGCTAGTCACAATATTGCCATTTAAGTGATGATTAAACCCATGTATTTTATCTTTAACTGAAGTATTCTCGCAGCCAGAGAAAAAAAAAATCCTCCGTGTGATATATTTAATAAACATATATCCAGTGCGTGATAACAGTTTGTTTATAAATTCATAGGTGACTTACGAGACGGCAGCGGGTTGGTGAATGTCAGACATGCACGGCAGAAAGAGATGTCCACAAACAGCACATTATAGCTACATTAACTAACTAAAAGCATATATACAGTACAAACATACACCAAGAACCAGTACTTACACAGAATAACAGCCAGTACTTGCCAACAGTATGTAACAGAACCAGTACTTCGCAGAACAACGGCCAGTACTTGCCAACAGGAACAGGCACGACTGACCTGTACGTAACTATAGGTTCTGCTGTGTTTACCTGCAGGTAGCTGGTCAGAACTCCCAGTGTAAAGGTGGTGGCACTTTGGGCACTTTCCTCCGAACATGTTGCTCGTTTTGTTGGCCGTTGATCTGGTGGCCCAGCAAGCAGAGGGATTTCGGGTGTTGCAAGAACGGTTTGGCAGAGATCTTTGATGGCCTGATTAGTGCTCAAATAAGTTTCATATAGTTTCAAGTAAAAATTGAAATAAATCATGAAACAATAATAATTTTAAATATAACACATGAACGGTGACATATTTCTATTGATTCGTCACTTTAAAACTTTTTTAGTATTATTAAATAACTATTCAGGGTCTTCTTTTCTTTAGCTTTCGCAGACTCCTCACTTGCTTAAGCAATTGGAGAACTATAGCACAACACTTTAAGGCAGCGGTGTCCAACTCAAAACCTTTCGAGGGCCAATTCTTATTTTAGTTACCGTCTTCAGGGCCAACACACGTGCTATAACACATATTTGCAGGATTGAAGTTTACAGCTTCACACATTGCCTTACCTGGCTTACCAGGAATACCTCATTTGGGTTTGTCTGATCTTAAGTATGTAAAATTCATGTTACTAAATAAACATGATTTTATCTATTTCTTTCATAATTTCACGGGATGATAAATTTTACCGTCATCCCGCGGGCCACACCTGACCATCCCAAGGGCCAAATTTGGCCCGCGGGCCATGAGTTTTCGGTCCCTCAAGTACAGCAATCTCGTGATGGTTGAGTTAGTCGTTACGGCCTATCTCTTTACCAACAAAATTATAATTATTCTCATGACCAAGACATCTTTGTTGACATGCGCACATATTGTACCATGATTCAAGTTTTGTTACAAATAATATTACTTAATTTGATTTATAAGGAACCACAATTCACTACAATACACACCTGGGCTAACTACAGGCTTCCATGGTTAGCGAATGTGAAATACAGGTGTACTTCCTTTTGTCTTCTTATTAACACTATTTAGGCTAAGACATGTGTTAATGAAACGCCTTTTGCTCATGAATATCAACATAAAAATCATCAATTATTGCATTTTATTTTTAATCTGGTATTTATTTGATATAATTTTGACATTACTATCAAGTGTGTATTGCTGGGTGAGGGTGAACTGTAGAGGTTTGGTTAGGTGATATAAAGGGGATTATTACGTATATGCTATGTAAATACCCATGCAATGAAGTTGTGCTGTGTTAGTAGATCTCCCTACAGGTGGAAGCCGGAGTAGACTGCTGTGTTCAGTATCTCACACCGAAAACATAAGTGGTTGTGAGAATTTTGTGATAAGTGAAGGAAAAGGTTGCGATAAGAAGTAAGTGTTATACCACTTACCCACCTACCCACATGAGCTAGGCCCGGACCCAAAGGGGGGGGGTGTATACAAGGCCCTGGCAGGATTATCTTACAGTCCACATAATTTAAACGTCCATAACTTACTATCACAACACCAGAGTGTGTTGTGACGGATCCAGCAGCTAAATATAACAGCCAGGATCGCTTTTGACGAGATACATACTTGGAACAAACCACCGACTTTTGCCTTGGGAGGATAAATAAAATACGGCAACCTAAACATATATATATACATAATCATTTATTACACAAACATCAGTACACTAATATCAACTAAACCAAAAGGCAGGGACATACAGCAGATATCTTTACATCACCAGCGACTTGCACCACTGCCGTTTGGACAATAATATATAGCGAGGGAGGTAAGCGCGGGTGGAGAAGGTTATGAAACGCGAACGAAGTCAACAAAGCGTCGGGAATTTCATGACAGATTAGTACTGCTGTTCCCTCACATTGCCATATTCTCTCATGTCTCACCAAACTAACAATGTAAGGAACTTGCTAACACAAAACAGCTCATCTTTTCTTATCATATTACTTACGAAGATAATAGTATTTGCATAGTTCCTTTATGTTTGTGTTTACACTGTAGGGGAGGAATCCACTACAACACTCCTTTGAGGAAGCTACGTGACATAATTTTCTGTACGTAACTTAACTCTTGGTTATGTACTCATGTGTCGAAACGGAATAAGTACATGTAATCACAAATATCAAGGGACTTCGCAAACGCCCAGCATCTGATAAAAAATTCAATATCCAACACACACACACACACACACGTACTGTACATACACAGAGCACACACACATTCTTCTCTCCAAAGGTAGCAGCGTCTTATCCACAACACACCACTGGACAACACCAAGTCAACAACATTATAAGACACAGTTCCATATTTTCACGAAGACTTTGGCAGATTTGAGTTAGCAAGTTTATTAACGAACCTCACAATAAACTGGATACAAGATTTTACCTCAACAACAAGGCGACACTTGAATCTGCTGTAATATTAGAACCAGACAAGGGACCAATTATAATCCTAATGTAATCGTAATCATAATGTAATCGTAAAAAAACCTGTAATCACAATCCAGAATATACAATATTTGGATTACGTAATCAAAATTTTAATAAATATAATCATTGAAAATTTGTAATCGTAATGATGAATTGTAATTGACCTAATGTCTGATTAAAACACATTATTAACATATGTATATAAATCATCTCTCAATCATCTTTACTCAAAGAAGTTGAAAGTTAGCTAAACGAGACGAGGACTTCAGTGCTAAGAGTTTATTATAATCATATAAACATCTATCTATTTAAAACCAGGATGTGAACCTTTACCCATCCACAAATTATCACACTTAGTACACAGGCAGTCTCCAAAAATTATATACACGTTCCCTAAGTTTTCATAGAGATCACGTGAATGTTTGTATGTCAGTATATCCTTACTTGTGGGAGACCTAGGAGACTTGGGAGATCCAACACATCAATAAGTGAGGGTCAATATTGTTGTTGTTGTATTATCATTCACGAGACGTCAATGAAAAATGTGTAAAGTTGTGTGTATACATTTTTCTGGGGCACCCTGAACGAGGTCCATACGTGGCGTTGGGGGGGGGGTGGTTGATTCCTACCTTGCAACACACATATCACTAGGCTGAGGAACAATTCACTATACTGCTCTAAGCTACTAGGACTTTGACTCAGAGCCAACGACCTGAGCGACTTATTGTTCCATACATCACTTTGCACATGTAGTTGTTATGGTAACTGATCAAGTGGGCCCCAGTCCTAATAGGCCCTAGTAGTAATGAATCACAAGCCTAATAATGGTTAAGTCATATCGGGGGGCCTATTAAGACTGAGGCCCCATTTAAATTGGAACCATTGTTATACATCTACTTAAAGAATTACTGCGGTTTTTTTTTTTACACCAAGAAGGAAAAACTACAGGAAAATGGCAGGGTACTTTCACACACCAGTAAAAACACTAAACACACCTTGAGTGCAAATATAGCAGGTGTCTCCGGAAATAGTATTAAGGATATCTTTAAAAATACACCTATGTATACACTTGATCTTTGTGTTAATATATAATAAACTACACCTACGTGACACTAAGATCTACCGTTCTTAAAAGGCAAATTCTGGTGGGAAAATTTCTTCTTCTTTCACATTACACCAAGAACTCCATTTAGAGTACAGTACAATGACCGAATACGCGACGGCCCCCCAAAAAAGGCTTATTTAGCCGTGTTTAATATACCGGAGTACAGTAAGTGGTATGAAGAGGCATCGGGAAGGCCAGAAGGGAGAGTGTGTTTACAATGTGTTATTATCCCACACCTAACGTCAGCTGCTCAATCCATTATCCAACGCGGGATATAAGACCAGAGAATACGCTAAGCTCGACTGCCAAACATGTCACCATCATTGCCACTCAACACAATCTCACTAAAAACTAGACTCTTCACAGGCGTTAAAAAATCTTCATACACCTCACGAAGCAAATAAACAATGATCTAATAATCTTAACTCTTTACAGGAAGTTTTTAAATACATCTTACTCTCAGGGATATAAATATATTCAATAAATATTTTAACGTCACTGGGATTTTTCTTTTAGTAAGGAGTGAAAAATAGAATCAGGATGGACAGTTACATCTCTCTTGAGTTAACACTGACCTGTATAAGAACTATTAAGTTGGGTATTCCTGGGGCCACCACCAGTTCGTGGCTAGTCTTAACACAACACTCTTAAGCGTAAATCGGTTAACCAAACTAACTAACTAACCATAACTACCTCAAAATCGTAAGAGTTAGGTTAATGTCGGGTCAAATGGTTTCAAAAAACAAAAATAGTTTGGTCATGTTGCTTCTTAAACGGAAGAATTGAGTCAACAGCACAAACTATCTCCCTAGCCAGGTAAGGAGACACAAAATATAGGATGGGGAATTAAAATTTCTGGGGAATTATAAGAATTTCCCTAAAGAGTCATGAAAGCGCCTCCACCAGCTACCACAACAAGACCCTCGTAACGTGCAGTACTCACTTTAAACAATGAAAACCCAATCCAACTTACTAAAAACTTTGTGCTTGCTTTGTCAATATAAATAGTAAAATAGCACCACACAGAGCGGATAGCCTATTACAAAACATACTCAAGTCGGTCAGTTCACCTTTACAGAAGATCAATTATAAAGTTACCAAATGGCTTATAAATATTGTCTGGGAGAACTAATTAAGCAACAACTTTTAACCTCAAGATGAATTGAATTTTGCTGTCCTCTTGATATCCCCCAAAACGAAATCAACAAATTGAATAACAGAAGATTAATAAACATGTTAATAATCAATACTCCTAATATAACTGCGGTAAAAACTCTCATCATCTCTGTGTATTCATTTAACATTTTCTTTAATACCCAAAAGATCACCTCAATGAAAACGGTATCTCATGTCGATCGTTCTTTAAGGCTAACTTAAATATATATATATATATATATATATATATATATATATATATATATATATATATATATATATATATATATATATATATATATATATATATATATATATATATATACACAGTATACTGTATATAACTAAAGCAATGGACTTGTTACGTGGAAAGCGTAGTTTTATAACGAAGAGGAGAACCAGGGTAAACGCAAACATCTTGAAGTAGGGCTTCTTTTAATTGCTAACGTTTCGGAAATAATCCTTTTCCATCATCAGAACCTAAAAAGTTTTAAAAAAGTTTAAAAATACAGGTGATATACAATAAAAACATAATATTATACGAAAATTTACCTTCGATAAACTTCAAAAATTTAAAAAAGAGCAATCCACTTCAAAACCGACAAAAATGACGAGAGACCTACAGTACATACAAAGCTAAAGTCAGGAAATAAAAAGTATGAAATAAAATGTACCGGGGGTATTACCTTAATTCAGACGAGCCTTAATGTGAAAAACATAACAATTCACTAGAGGCCATTTCACAAAGCGATGGCTTTTCTTTATACCGGTGTAATGCCTCCATAATGAGGAGGTCTGTATCACAGTCGCTCTTGCCAAGAACTGAGAAATCAGACGGCGAAAACGGGTGGTCATGTTGGTGGGCGTGGTTACGAATAGCTGAATGTGGTGGTTGTGTTATTAAATGGCCTGTTCGAACGGAATGGCCCAAGTGTTCATGGATGAGAGTTATCAAATGTCTTTAGTTTTACCTATATATGCTGCCCTACAGCTAGCACACGTAAATTGATAAACAACTGAGGATTGCAGGTGTGTCGGTATGGTGTCTTTAATTTTAAAGAATTTCTTAATTGAACTCTGGGTTTTAAAGATTAGTCTAAGAGAAATTTGTGGATAGAATTCATTGAAAAGCTTCTTAAGTTTATTTCTAAGGGTGAAACTGAGTGGGCCTGTGTACGGGATGGTGAGATAGAATATTTAGGGACTGTGTGGGTTTGAGGCTGTGTGGGACTAAAAAACCTATTAAGGGTTTTGCCAATATAAGTGTCTGTAAATCTCTTAGGGAAACCATTGTTAAAGAATAGTTCCTTTATGTATTTTAGTTCAATATCCAAGTGGAAATAGCTAGAACATATATTGAAGGCTCTGTTGGTAAGAGTACGTACTAGATTACGTTTGTAATTAAGAGGAATAAAAGATGAAAATTTTGAACTCAAACCAGTGAAAGTTGGTTTTCTGTATAAGGCTGTCTCGAAACTATTATGAAGACGGTGGATATTAACATCAAGGAATGGAAGAATATTTTCCTTTTCCAATTCACAAGTAAACTTGATGTTGCCATGTTTCGAATTTAAATAATTTAGGAACATAGGGACGTGATCAAGTGATCTGAAAATTAAAAAAGTGTCATCAACTTACCGACGATAGAACAAAGGCTTAAATTAGGGGGGACATTCGGTAAGCCAAAGCTTCTCGTGGTGACAGAGGAAAGCGTTGGCCAACGTGGGACCTAAAGGTGAACCCATAGCAACACCATCACATTGTTTATAAGCTTTGTTATTAAATAAAAACAAACAATCATTTACAGCCAGTTTTAAAAATTCTTTAAATTGTGGTCCATTGAATCCATCAATTATATCAGTATTTGAGAACAGTTCATCTGTACATATGTAAATAGTTTCGGCAAGAGGGATGTTGGTAAATAGAGACTGTATGTCAAAGCTAGCCATAACACAGTTGTTGAACGAGATACTAGTTAGTTCCTTAACAAAACTAAAAGAGTCTTTAACAGAGTATTGATTAATGGTGATTGGTGACAGTATGGGAACGAGGAATTTAGACAGATTATAGTTGAAGGTGCCAAGGGCAGACAATATATGGCGTAAGGGACACTCATCCATGTGTACCTTTGGTAGACCGTATATCACCTGTATTGTTAAACTTTTTCAAAACTTTTTAGGTTCTGATGATGGAAAAGGATTATTTCCGAAACGTTAGCAATTAAAAGAAGCCCTACTTCAAGTTGTTTGTGTTTACCCTGGTTCTCCTCTTCGTTATATATATATATATATATATATATATATATATATATATATATATATATATATATATATATATATATATATATATATATATATATATATATATATATATATATATATATATATATATATATATATATATATATATATATATACAGTATGGTATATAAAACATCCATTCATCAGGAGAAAACACTTCGGCAGTAAATATATGACAAATGTTTTATGTGACTAGAATGATGGACAATATAATGATACAAGTAATAGCTCGAAATAATGGTGAGTGTTGAAAATGACCTCTTGAGTTGAATTAGTGTGGAGAAACTCACAATATTGGGGGTTACCTTATATTACGTTACATTATTTCTGTTAGCTTGGGTTATTTTGGGCTAGATTACATTACGGTTAGGTTATAATATGTTGGATTAATTTAGGTTAGGCTAAGTTATAATGGGTTAATGTAGGTTAGGCAAGGTTAAGTTAGGTTATGTAGGGTTAGGCGAGGTTATAGTATATTGGATTAGGTTAGGTTATATTATGTTGGGTTAGACTAGGTTATGATACATTTGGTTAAGTTAGGTTAGCTCAAAAAACTTGCAAAAACAGAATATTCACAGTAAAATCACTACTCTTGGTGAGGTGAAGGACTGTCATCATCATCATCATCATGGCTTCAGGTGGCGGAGGAATACAGCTAGTGGGCGTATAGGCATCAGGTGATGGCTGGAGTGTTGTGGTAGAGCAGAAGGTGGCGCTGCTCACCACTTTCCAGACTGGGAGATTGGGAGAGGCAGAGAGATGGGAAAGAAACACGGAGAGGAGGAACAGATAGATAGATAGAGAAATGGATGAAAAAATTTATATAAAACCTTGTATATATAAATGAAAGAGTAGGAGTAAACAGAATAGAAAGAGAGAGAGAGAGACCTAGGTGAGAGTATGCCACTGCTTGACGTTTTGTCGCTTCTTGGACAACATCAGGTTCCAGTGTTCAAGCGCTCGGCCGCGGGCAAACATGAACGACCCGAGCTGGACGCGCCCCACCACCTTATCTAGGAGGAGAGGAAACACGTAATTCAATATAATAAAAATAATATTAATCACTCTACAAAACCTACAGATTAAAATGAATCTATCTGGATTAATTTATTTCATTGGTGAATATTTATTAGAACTTCAAGAAATGTGAAGAGCGACAAATGACAATAAGTTTATATATGTTCTTTGTCATCTCTATATTGAGTTCTTCTTCACTTCTTTTATGTCCTATTAAAATTTGGTTATTTGGAAAAAGAGTTAGAGGACTAGAGTGATTTTAATAGAGATTACGATAGGTTAGAGTAGTTGAGGTTAGTTTAAGTTATGTTATGTTAGATTGAGTTAGGTTAAATTGAATTACGCTTGGTTAGGTTAGGTTAGATTGAGATAGGCTTGGTTAGCTTAGACTGAATTAAGTTAGATTAAGTTCCGTGCCCTATGGACGACGGGGAGATCGATATGCCTACCTGCTTTCCTGCCTACAGTCACTATGACACTGATGGCCGTAGTGTCGAGGGCATCCAAAGCAACCTTGAAGTGAAAGCTCTCGTTGAAGGAGGGCGAATCTGACCCCTTCACCACCGCCGTCTTCTTGGTCTTACTCACCTGTAGGACAAGAACACCCATCACTACTGCAGCTGCGGGAGATCATCAGCAGGTTATGGTAAACAGATAAAGAACTTTTGATATGGTTCGTCTCAGGAGATACGTTACTGATGACTGATGGGGAGATACTAATTAAAACAGAGGTAATATTCTCACAGTGGCTGGTTGAGGAGAGAAAATTAAAAGGAGAATAAATATTAACTTTGTTTGGTTTACATTCGACGTAAGATGAATGACCCATTGTTCAGTCTCCTTAAACTTGCTATGTAAATAAGGTCCTAGAACTTACCTTTGTCTGTTGCAAGAGGGCTATCCTCGACTGAAACTCATTCTTCTCCTGACGAAGTTCCTTGTCGACCTAGAATGGGGTAGAATGAGGCATTTTAGTGAGTAATTCCAGAAGACACAAGATTGACTGGGAGTTTTGAATGCATGACTCAGCACCTAATTGTCTTATGCAGAGAGAGAGAGAGAGAGAGAGAGAGAGAGAGAGAGAGAGAGAGAGAGAGAGAGAGAGATTATTTTACTATAGATTGTGACAGTGTTTACATGCAGTTGCGTATGTATGTACTGTATGTATGTATGTATGTATGTATGTATGTATGTATGTATGTATGTATGTATGTATGTATGTATGACCCACCTTGAGTTGCTTGGTGTCCCCTACAGTGACCGTCAGCCTCTCCAGGTTTTCGTTGTAGCAGAGAGAGAGTTCTACCTGACCCAACTCTCGAGGACTTAAACTGACTTCTCTCTCCAAGTCCCGACGCAGCATCCTCTTCCCCTCCCACGGGTACAGCTCCTGCAGTAGTGAGCAGCGTTAACAGCAGGACGAAGAGAGACAATGGGATGTATTGGTATGAGAAGCCTTACCTAGTCGTGGTATATGGGTACAGGTTCTGAAACAGTGAACACCATAACAGACAGACAGGAAGACAGACAGACAGAAACACAGACAGATAGATAGGCAGACACACAGATAGATAGATAGACAGACAGACAGACAGACATGATAGAGAGATACACACACACACACACACATACACATACACATAAACGTCAGCAATGATACCACGAAAGATACACAGACAGACAGACAGACAGACAGACAGACAGACAGACAGACAGACAGACAGATCTCACCTTGAGCAGGAAGAGGACATGACCTATGACCACGTGTTTCTTGTCTCTGTCCACGTCATAAAAGGTCAACTTGAGAGCTCTGTCTTCTAGTTCCCTGGCCGTGATCTGTGGGGGGGGGAGGTCAGGAGATGGTGTTAGTGCCAGAAGGTGCCAAGGGTGCCAGGGGGTGAAACTTCATTGTGGTTGATAAATTCTGGTAATTTTTCCACACACACACACATACACACACACACACACACACACACACACACACACACACACACACACACACACACACACACACACACATACAGCCTCACTTCCTGTTACTTTCGTTTCACTGAACCCAAAGACTCGACCTCCTCGCCTCAGTTCACCTTTCCAGGCCTTGAGAAGATAATCTACTTACTTACTTATTTAGGTTACTTACGCCTGTCCTAGCGATTACATTAGGGTCCTAATTATCCAGGTGAATATTATCTACTTGGGGGGAGGCAAGGGGTAAGGCAAGGGGTGAGGCAAGGCAAGGTGAGGCAAGGGGAGGCAAGGGGTGAGGCAAGGGGTGAGGCAAGGGGTGAGGCAAGGGGTGTGAGGCAAGGGGGTGAGGCAAGGGGGTGAG